CTAAGTGAAAATCAGTCTATTTACTCAATCATCTTTCGGTCCGCGGGAATAGGACGTATGTATTATAGAACTTCAAAGAGTATAGTGCGAGGAAAAAAGAATAATATATCAGCTACCGAGAGTAATTTCGTGTCAGGTGGTGCCGATCAGGACTTTAAAACCATTTTTTGTTTTATTCAACTCCCCACAGGTGTAGAATTTTAGTTCCAAATGACGCAAGTATTGCCGTTATGCAGGGAGCAGTGATGTTTGGTCAAAAGCCTAACATAATCGATTCCAGAATTATGTCTACAACGTATGGCTTTGACACAAACCGTCCCTTTGACAATAAAGTGCACCCTCTCGAGAAAAGGCATGTTGTTGAAGGGGTTGCTTGGTGTAAAGATTGCTTCGTCCTTCTCGTGAAGGAGAATGAAATCGTACAAGTTGGCGAAAAGAGAAGTTTTCCAAATTACCAGCCGCTAGAAAAAAGCCAAACGGCAGTCGATTTCAAATTTTACAACTCCAGTAATCCAGAAGCAAAGTACACAACAGATCCTGCGGTCGGTCCTTCTATAGGGAGGGTTACCGTCCAGTCACCTGATGTCTCAAAGGGAACGGACCGAAATATTGATGTATGCGTGACGTTTGGAGGTACAGAGATTAAAGTCACCGCGATCGACAAAACCAGCGGGAAGACCGCCACGGCATATCTAGACTTTTTGTGTGAAAAGGCGTCAAGCTACATGTAGGTAGGCCATATAAGAGTTGCCTATTTGGACTTCAAGTATGACAATTAAATTCTGTAGTGTACATGTGATTGTTAGTAATCAATTTTTTTTTGCGAATGTTAGCATCATAAACGGAATCGAATAGCCTGGTGTAAAAAGTGTTCACTTGTTTACTGTTTTATCAGCGTTTACTTTTTTGCTCTAATACATATTATGCATGTGCATGTACTTATAAAAGTGCTACCCCAAAAATTTGGTCATAAATCAATTGGTTTTGTTCGAGAAAAAAAATTAACCGCCCCTCTTAAAATTCTAGTTTTCTTTCTATGTCCGACATTTTGCATTTGTTTCTAACTTTAAGCGAAACTATTCCTGCTTCAATATTCACGTGCCCTATGTTCACATATAGTTTTAAGATGCTTACTTCTGATGAAATGTACTTTTTGTTAATTCGATGTAGAATCCCTTACATAATTCACTTATTGTAGTTACTGGCTTAAACTAGTCACCACTATGTCATCGAGTGTATAAGTAAGGAAGGAAGTGCATGTATAAG